AAGTTTAGCATTTTATAAACAATGTTTGAACTGGAACGTGATAATTCAATCTCAACCTGTTCTGCACGTTACTCTGTATTTCACTTTCATTCATTTCATTTCTTGTCATTTGCAGTCTTCCTGTGCAGAAATCCTGAACGAGGGTCAAAGGTTCAGATGAAGGGAACCTACGCTTCCAAGACTCATGTATGAACAACTTCGAGAATCCATGTACAATTTGAGCATTTTTTTTTTTCAAATCTCAACATGGAACTTGGACTGAACATGCAGAAAAAGAAAAAAAGTAGTTTGCTATGCTATAATTTTTTAGAAATTTCTGCATAACGGATTGTCCATTTATGGTACAGAAGATATTGTAAATCTACAGAATTTTCCGTTTTAATGTTGAAGGAAATGTCTGTAAATTTAACAGAAAATGTCCTGGTAATTTTCTGCCAGTACATTATCCGTTTTTTTACGTAATTTTTTTTTACAGTGTATAATTACACTGTAACAAGGACACCTTAAAATAAAGTGTAACCTAATTTTCTCCTAGAAAATCTGCATATCTGAAATAAGGTCCCTTAGATGTTCTAATTTATTTATTTTTTATTATATGAGTAATACGTATATATTTTAATAAAAGAACTATACATTCACAGGATTTTTTTTCTGGGTAAAAATGGTCTTCAGCGGAAATGTGCTTGACAAACAAACCCAATACTGACAATAAATTAAAAATACATGTCAAGTAACCATTACAGCTTATCTTGAAATTCAAAAAACATCACTTCCAGAAATGTTTTACTTTCACAGTGCAAGTCCATGACACATTTAACACATCTAATACCAGAGATTACAAAAAGGCTGCTTGGAATTAAAAAAAGAAACAAAACATAATCATCTACCTAAATACTATTAACTTTGCTTAGGTGGCCCAGTCAATGGTGGATTTTCTAAAAAAAAAAAAATTGGATTGCAGACAAAGCTCTGTATTTATTATGCTCATCTCAGAAATCCAGTGAGCACCTCATTTAACACAATCCCTCCAGCTAGTATAAGCAGCATGAAGAAAACCGCAAGTCCTCGACGGATAACGAGCTGTTTGGTGGTCAAAACCGCGCCAACTGCGATCTTTGTGCCAGCATCTGTTATTCCTCCTCCTTCACGGAGCCCTTCCACATCTGTGTTTGCATCTGTTTGGCCTTCTTCATTGTGCTGGGATTCCTGTGGTACTTCTGTACAAGGACAAAGGACAATTTTATCAGTCAACAGGGAAAGTCCAATTTGTTCATTTTTCATACACCACAGACAGAAAATACCTTCTGTGCAGCCCTTATTTTCCATAGCGTAAGATTCATCTTTAGTCTTAGGGGCTTGTACACCTGCTCTGATCAAGGCCTGAAAATAAAAATATAAAGACTTAAGTCATTATCTATCAAAACAGAATATAGATGTGGATTAAGAAAATAGACCCACCTCTTGAGTCGCTTTTTTCCAATCCAATTTGCAAATGAGGATGATAAAGAACAAAGACTGCAGGAAAACACATCCAAAAAACCCAATCCACAGACCTAACAATTGAGAGAAGAGGCAAGAAAGGATGGATGGATGAATTCAGCGTGGTAACTGAGTTTAACCCTCTAATGCTCCTAACTTACGAGTCACACTTGTACTCCTTGGCAGTTAAAAGTGAACAAACACCTTGAGTGAAACTTTTTTCAATTAAATGAATGTACTATATGTTGGTTCAATATTATTTTTTATTTAGTATTTGTATTTTAAGGGGATTTCAATAAAATAATGCAATACTATCTGTGTGTCTATTTTGCACTCATAATGTTTTAGAATTTAACCCCTTCATTGCTGTATATTTTTCTGCATCATTGTATCCCAAAAAAGTGTAAATACAAAGTTCTGTAATGAAACTCTAGATGGCGCAGACTGATAGGTGCTTAATTCAATCTGCTAGTAAACAACTATTACTATTAAAATCTTGCTGCTCAACATTCAAATACTTGGCCAGTGTTGGCTGTAGCAGTTTGCAGAGCTCTTTCAGAAAGCATCTAAAATCAAGATCTAAGATAATTGAATGCTTTAATCACTCTGCATATTGTGTGGTCTGCTTATATAAGTGGCAACATTTACACAATTGTGTTTTTGCAGCAGCAAGTACTCTATAATATGTAACTGTTCTCTGCGCCGACTCTGCTACAGATTTGAGAACAGGTTAAAATGAAATAAGCATTGCTTGTATACACTATTAACTGGGGTGCATCATATTTAGCCGTATGACCTCCTATATGGAGATATTTTTGTTGCATTATTCCAAATAAATAGATCATGATTCACAAATAAATGTAAAGAGATTAACAAGAAATAAACATATTTACAAATAAATCTTAGAGTTTCACAAACATGAATTAAATTCACAAATAAATAAAATGAGATTTAAATCACATTCACAAATATCTTTTTATGTCACAAACACAACTTTGCCTGGCATTCATTTGTGAATCGTGTCCTGTGCATTTGTGAATTGCTGCACGCATTTGTGGATTTTGAAACATTTCTAGCGTCGCACTGACACATCCACAAATGCGTGGACTCCACCCATCATCTACTCCAGCTAATCAGATAATAGCCACTCTTCTGACCAATTGTAGCACATTCTTGTTATAGCCAATCATGCTATTATCATTTCCAAAAGCATGTAAAATATAATACTGTGGCTTGGCTTGATATACAGTCAAATGGTATCAATGGTATCCAATTTTAAATATCTTTTACTGTACCACTTTTTATGGCTTTTATATTTCCTATTTGAGCCAATGCAGATGAATTATTATTTCTGGGTAAGACTGTCCTGAATGTAAAGCAAAACATTACTGGCTATAGTGAGAACGTGGTACGACTGGTCAGTGAAGTGTGGTTGTTATTTGATTGGCTTGAGTAGACGGTGGGTGGAGCCCACTTATTTGTGGATTTGTTTTTTTTTTATATGCAAATCTCATTGTATTTATTTGTGAATTTAATTAATGTTTGTGAAACTCTAAGATTTATTTGTGGATCTCATTCAATTTATTTGTGAATATGTTTATTTTTGTTAATCTCTTTACATTTATATGTAGATCATAATCTATTTATTTGGAATAATGCAACAAAAATATCCCCATACTCCAATGATGTGTTCATTTATTTCCAAGGGCAATGTTTCATTATGCTCCTGTCATTCATTTATCGCTTCTAATGGCTTTTCACTTATTCAAATAAGAAGATAAAGGGTTATGTCGGTGACAATTACAAAAAAAATAATTAAATTTTGATACTTGCTCAGGTGTTTGCTGGGTTTTCTTACCTCTATCAGCCTGCAACGTGATATCTGCTTGTTAACGACACATTTCTAGACTAGAGTCAAGCCATTCAGCGTAGTAGCCCAGGCACACATTCAAAATTCAAAGTGTTTTTTTTTTTTTTGGTTAAAAGTAACTGAGGAGCACCAGAGGGATGAAAAAGTATTTTGATTACTCAGAGGTTGTTCAAGTGTATTTAAGCAAAGCCACTGGGAATGTTTCTATTTCACCACATTAAACTCTTATGTTATCATGTGGCTTCCCAGGCTTGAATGTGTTCGCAAGACACCTACCGATTATGCCCATGCTGAGAGCAAACATCAGAGACACTCCAGTTGGGAATCCCACAAAATAATATCCCACAATATTACAAAGAGCACCGAGCAGCTGCTTTCCAGCACCTCTGACAATGCCACCTGTAATGCCCTACAGATAGAAAAAATATATATATATCAGACATTGACAATATCTGAAGTGAATACCAGAAATAAAGATTGAAAGCAAAATACAGACATCAGAATATAACCACACACTTTATACCAGTGATGTAATAAACAACATTTTACAAATAATGTCTAGAGTTTTAATATTTTATGCAATTTTGCTTCACAAAGTAAATGCATATTTACAGATGTTCAGATATACTGGAAAACAATACTTTTTTTTTTCTAGTGCAAAATTTTGTTATAAATAAAATATTGGACAAATTAAATCTTACCGCAATGGCATCAAATAAATGAAAGAAGCCATACATGATCATGACCTCTGATACTCTGAGCACTATCTCCCTATAGAGAGAGATAGTTTAGTACACAGATCAGATATGAATTGTTGAATGTTTTAATGGCCACAATTACATGCTCCCAATACGATTCCAAAAATGAATATTTATTCAGAAGATGGGAATTCTTTACACAAGCTGACATACTGCATGTTGCAGTTTCTCCTTTTCATATTAATAGAAGTGTACCTTCTTGGTACTGTATTCTTGGAATATACTCAATATCCAATGTAAAATGTTATATTGCTTTTTAGTGTAATGCAATCTGAACAGTAGATTTCTGTAAACACTTACTCTTCTGTGGTAAAGATGTATCCAATAATATCTTTTGTACTTCCAATTAAGGTTGCAACCACACACGAAACAAGCACTAGAAAAAAATAAATAAAGCACACCATGAAGGTAAACCAAAACCAGTAACCATAAACCAATAATAACTATATAAATGCACATTTTTATAATAAACAATGTTCAATTATGCAATTTTTCTTTGAAACATCTGGGCATCTTAAGCATCAGTTATGACAAAGCTGTTGATGAACAGATCACATACGTCCACAGGCTAAAGATACTTTGGCAGACAGCTTGGCTTGTTCTGTGTTTCCAGCTCCGAGTGCATTTCCCACCCTCACACTGGCTGCCACAGCAAATCCCAGTGGAAACTAAAAGGTGAGAATAATAAGAAACTGAATGACAAAAGAAAACAACGTATGTTCAAGCTAATCTGTGTACTTTAAACAAAGGAATTAAAATATAATTTATCACAGATGTTCAGAAACAGAACTTGTTGCTGCTGTAATTCTTCTACTATCCTATTTCAACAGCAATGATTTTTGTCTTTTTTTTATTTATTTTTTTTATTATTAAAACTTTACAAACTGTACATATACAGTATTTCAGTTATTTCTGGGGCCAGATTTAATAATCTCAATTAAAGAATGGGTTACGTCTGTGGTTGCTTGGCAACTGTTACAGATTTTAAGTTAAACCTCACACAAACCTCTTTCCCATGAGGGAAAATTTGCATCTTCAGTAAAGCGGTACAGGTTATGCAGCTGCATTCCTGTGCATGCTCTTCATACAAATATGCAAGATTACAGCTTTCAGGATCTAATACTTTGATCATTTGTTCAATTTGATATATATTACAGTGAGTTGTTTTAGAAAAAAATTTAAAATAAAAGGCTGGTGTATTTAGTTACAATGTATGATCTGATTGCTGTTACCAACCCATGTATCTGTTTTCACCACCCATGCAGAGGATAACAAAATAATATATTTGCTAATGAGAAATGATACTTTAAGTAATGTAAATAGTGAATGTGGAATAACAGAAATGAGGCACTTCTTAGTTCCACAGTTCTGTCAACAGGTTCCAATTTCAGTTTATCTTTTATATGAACGTAATGATAACCTAATATCTTGACCCATTAACCATTAGTTTACCATTAACCATTAGAACCATTAACCAGTAAAAAACTGGTGCTGTTGGGTCTAAGAATACCCCTGAAATCAGCACAAGTATACAGTTTTGTTTTTGTTACAGGTTAAGCCAACATTTGTACGCCTACCATATATGCAATAGTGGCCAGCTCATACACAATAGATTGGGCTCCTAGCTCAGTCTCACTGATGAGCCCTACAACAATAAAATACATCAAGATCACAAATATATTCATGACTCAAACAAATATAATTACATAAAAACAATAACATATCGCAAACCTGCTAGGAATCCACCAATCTCATATGTCCACCACTCCACACATAGCATGAGCATGCTGGGAAAAGCCAAGCGAATGAAGGCACCCCATTCCTGTAGACAGTCAAGAGACCAGCCTAGGATACATGGGAAAAATACACACATTTAACACATTTATATATCAGACTAATTAACAATAAATCGAATACCAGATTTATTTATTCAATAATAACAGATGAAGATTGGCAAAAAAGATATGACGTTTCAACACTGAGTAACTATGAAGGCAGTATGTTATAAAATGAACCTGGTGAGACATGACTCATCAGAAATATTTCAGTGAACTCTTCACCACATCATCTTAAAAAGTCACATAGCGAACAACTTTCTGGTCAAATATTAAAAAAGAAAACAACATACTTTGCACCAAGATATAAAACGGTTACATATTTCTCCCGTGACGTAATCACCTTTGAAATATTTATTTAATGTTAAAACTATTTTTAAAAGGTGTGTAATTCATGGAATAAAAAAAAAAAGATTAAACTATAGTAACATTTAAAGGAACACTCCACTATTTTTTGAAAAAAAGGCTCATTTTCCAACTCCCCTAGAGTTAAACAGTTGAGTTTTACCATTTTCGAATCCATTCAGCCGATCTCCGGGTCTGGCGGTAGCACTTTTAGCTGTAGCTTAGCATAGATCATTGAATCTGATTAGACCGTTAGCATCTCGCTCAAAAATGACCAAAGAGTTTCTATATTTTTCCTATTTAAAACGTGACTCTTCTGTAGTTACATCGTGTACTAAAACCGACAGAAAATGAAAAGTTGCGATTTTCTAGGACGATATGGCTAGGAACTATACTCTCATTCCAGCGTAATAATCAAGGAACTTTGCTGCCGTACCATGAGTGCAGCAGGCGCAATGATATTACGATGTAACTACAGAGGAGTCAAGTTTTAAATAGGAAAAATATAGAAACTCTTTGGTCATTTTTGAGCGAGATGCTAACGGTCTAATCAGATTCAATGATCTATGCTAAGATACAGCTAAAAGTGCTACCG